CCATGAGGAAAATGCAAAAACATATATTATATATCTACTATAGTAATTATATATATATATATATTATATATAATATAATAATATATATATATATATATGGATGGACAGACTATTTAACAAAAATTAATGAACAAGTATTAATATTAAATAATGTTGCATAAGAAGTACATGCAAACCTGAATATTGCTAAGGCCAATACAAATATTCATCATTGCATTCAAGGAATAACACATTTTATATGTTGATTCAAGTTTGCTAATCTCCACATTGAGGTCATCAGATATTTTTTGAGATAAGATTGACGTAAATATTTCTGTGATGTCTTTACATAACAAAACGAGCTTGTAGAATGCATGGAACCACTAAAACGCCTAGCAGTTCCGCAACTATTCAAAATAGAAAATATACAACATCCATCATTTAACTGCACCTAAATTATCATTATAAGATAATGGCTAATATAGTATTGTGGACAACTGACAATGCTGTGTATAGGTAAAATATGGCTCTACTCGCAATTAGTAGTGAGGTAATGAGAGGATAGTTTCACTCAATGTACAATTGACTAGATTTGTATTTGTTGAGGGAAGAATTTTTATTAACCATACAGTTGAATGTCTTTCTTATAGACAATTCCATATCACTTTATTTATAACTTTACTTTTGACTGATAAATGGAGAGAAACTAGAAAGCAACTTCTAAGATTATTTCAATGCATATCAAAACAGCACAGCCTAGATTTCAAGATCATACCAACAAAAGAAAAAGAAATAGACTGTACAATGAAAATTATGTAGTGAAAAATGTATAAATGAGGTGCACTTAAGATATAAAATAAGTACTTGATTTTATATTTTCATAAAGGTGGAGAGTTCTGGTAATTTGTGTGTTACACACGCTGTCATAATTGATATAAGGATAGCAAGCCAATCAGAAATACTAAACTATAAGCCAAAATAGGAGAATAAATTTCACAGGAAGAAAATTACCATTATTGAAGCAACATAACAATCAATAGGATTTTTCCTTTTAAATTTGTTAAGGGAAACATCATTGCCAGATCAATATCCTGCACCAATATGCATAGATATCTTATGAAATAACATACTTTCTCAAGGAAACTACTACAAATAACAATAAAAATACAGAGTAACTAACTGCGTACACACTCCTTTCAAAGGGATTGAACGCTTTGCATCTCCTAGAAGAAGAAAGGCTAAATGGCTTCATGACGCAGTGTATTTATTGAGTAAAACCAGATAAAAAGATAAAGAATAGAAATTGAAATTAGATAGGAAAAGAGATTCATTATTATGAAAGAAAAATTAAATGAAATAAGCTGGGAATCACTCACTCAAAACTATAGAGACTTGCCTCATACCTTCATAAATATGTGAGGATTCACTCATGCAAAGCTACTCGCTAATAAGCTACAATAAAAGAGAGCCTTCAGACTCCAATCAATTAGCTCTCCCTAAAGTCTCCATTAGTACTGATATACATGCTTTTATTATTTATAGCATCACAATATAAGTCTGATGGGGAGATAGTTGTGGTGCGGTTATGAGATGGGTTGTGGTAAGTGGTGAAAATAAGTAAATAAATTATCTAATAGATAGTTTATAAATTATAAAAAATATAAACAGCCAGACAATATATCCATTCATGTTAGTTGTTCTTTTTTATCCGGCCAATCAATTCAATAAGTGAAAAAATAATGCTTGCTCCAATGCGCCTTTTTCCACTTTGGCTTAAGCCAGTAACTCAGCATAAGTCTCCAATAACAGCAAAAGAAGAACGAGAAAATTCATCCTCTCGGGTTCTAACATTTGAAACAGTGCTCCAGTACTCATTATAACATTCATAAGTCAAGGGAGGCAAAGCGCACTGAGCTTAAAGGGGCTGGTTGGTAGCAGGATTTAAGGCCGGATTTTGGGGCGATAAATTAGAGCAAAATCAAATCCCCAAGGCAAAATTGAAAGCCTGATTTCCAAAATCCTATTTTTTGTTCGTTTGCTTCGTTAAATCCGTTATGTAGCCAGAACAGTCACCATGATTTAATAGGATTTATCATGAATGCTACCAAACAGTTTTTCAGATTTACCCCTCTTGGATTCCAGAACCGGCATTTAGCGGATTTATGAAAAACTACTTAAATCAAATCCTGGGGCTACCAACAGCCCCTAGTGGATGGAATTAAGAAATGTTGAATCAATTAGATTATATTTACTACACATGATGGGGTCATTTGGTTGCTCGTATAATAGTAAAACATGCCTTTAGAAATGATAGTTTTTTATCACCCCAACAATAAAATCATCATTTGAATGTGTTTGAAATTGTTCGTAGTCTTAGATTAATGACGAGTTTTAGGAAACCCTAACAAAAATAACAGAATTATATTAAAATCACTACTTCCCAAAAATACGCTTTAATAACTTAATCAACTAAACAGAATCCACAATTGAATTCCAACCCTATCCTTTGAAGCAAGAAAAAAAATATCACCTCAAGCAAAATCTAAACAATCATTGTGATAGTTCGAAATAGAGATAGGTGCATCCTGACCTGGTTAGTTTAAAGAGGGGGCGCTCCAACCTGACGGTGAAATTGGTGAATACTCTTCTCCGTAGCAGCGGTGGCGAAAGCTACGCCGGGAGTACGCCTCCCATCGTCACGAAAACCTACGGGAATCTTCAAGTTCCGCAAGGAGAGAACATAGATCTCCCAAACCCGATGCGAACTTCGCGAACAAGTCCTCAGAAAACCCGGAGCCGACCGTAATGTCCCCCAATCCCACAACGTCGGCAAGCTGAGGAGCACGCGCTGTGAAGCCGGCGAGGTGGCCGCCGCGAAATACCGAGAGTCTCGCGAGAGTATTAGGAAAGCTGATATTTTTTTTGTTTTGCTCAGGAGAGTATGGAATGACCGAAGAATATATTCGTATAATGGAAAATTGGCTATGTTTGAATTTATTTAAAAAAGAAATATAGTATAATTTAAGGGGTAATATGATGTCTAATTTAAATTGTTTTATCATTCATAAAATTAATATTTTTTTCATTTTTTATTTTTTAAATTGTTCGTTTAAAATATAAATTATAATAAAATTTAAACTATTTTTTTATTTGGCATCAAATTTTAATAATGGTGATTTATGATACAACTTGGCATGCCTTTAGAAAAATGTATTTTGGTAAGTTTGGCGAATTTTAATGGCAATTATTGAAAAATTATAATTAAATTCCAAAAATCATCCAAGAAGCCGACTTTAGCAATACTTCAGCTGATCGTTTTGACAAAATGTAATGCCAGACCAATATGATATAATTTTGGTTTAAAATGAAGCCCAAATCAAAATATTTAAGTTTCAATTGAATAGCTTTCTTACTATTTTTAATAAACAGTCTTTTTAGTACAAACTTTTAATTCAAAAAATTTTATCTACTAAAATAGTTGTTTAGAAATCTGTAAGAAAGCTAATTTCAAATGAATCCCTTGAATGATACTAAAAAACTTTAAGAATCAAAATATTAATAAGAGGAAGGACCAAAATGATATCTAAATCCTATAGTTATAGTGCAGCAACAAGCAACTCTACAAGAATGAATTTCATGAATCCAATATCCATTGCAGTGTGAGGCCATTCAAATACTTAAATGTTAATAACATTCTATGATCAAAGGGATTCCGCATGATGCTGTTAGATGAAGGGTTAACAGAATTTGACTAAAATTTATCAAAATCAGTGCTTTATAAAATACCCTGCCATTATTCAATCATGAGGGGGACATTTACTTGAATTGGAAGGGAATCATTAATATGAAGAACTTCATAGTTATTTTTGAATGCTTAACACCGAACGACCACATCTACCATGCTAATTGAGCTTAGCTACCATCACATTCACCTGTCGTCAGTTAAAATCATCGATAAGCCCTCTACATTTCCTAAATACCATTATCTGATTGTGATTGTTCAATAATGTCATCATCTCCCAACCACAAGTCCTGATTACTACTATCATCTGACCAAACATTGATTGACTAACATAATCCAACAACAAAAATATTTAACTTTTAATCTCATTTCTCTTATTAAGGGGAAAGAATACAAACTTTCGTAGTATATAATATAGTGAACCATTCATCTGGGTGCTTTTTTTCTCTTTTCCAGATTTTTCACATAAAAATTTTGATGAACGTATTGATTTTAT